TTCTTTTCTGTAAGGATGTTCAATAAGACCAATTAACTATTTAAATAGACGACCTAACATCGTTAAAACTCTAGAAGAAAACCTAGGCAATACCATTCAGGACATAGGCATAGGCAAGGACTTCATGACTAAAACACCAAAAGCAATGGCAAAAAAAGCTAAAATAGACACATAGGATCTAATTAAACTAAAGAGCTTCTGCATAGCAAAAGAAACTATCATTAGAGTGAACAAGCAACTGAAAGAATGGGAAAAAATTTTTTGCAATCTACCCGTCTGACAAAAGACTATTATCCAGAATCTACAGAGAACTTAAACAGCTTTACAAAGAAACAAACAAAATAAAACTACACTACATCAAAAAGTGGGCAAAGGATATGAACAGACACTTTCAAAAGAAAACATTTATGCAGCCAACAGACATGAAAAAAAGCTCATCATCACTGGTCATTACAGAAATGCAAATTAAAACCACATTGAGATACCATCTCACTCCAGTTAGAATGACTATCATTAAAAATCAGGAGACAACAGATGCTGAAGTGGATGTGGAGAAATAGGAGTACTTTTACACTGTTGGTGGAAATGTAAATTAGTTCAACCATTGTGGAAGACAGCGTGGTGATTCCACAAAGATCTAGAAATAGAAATATCATTTGACCCAGCTATCCCATTACTGGGTATATATCCAAAGGATTACATATTGTTCTATTATAAAGACAGATGTTTATTGCGGCACTGTTTACAATAGCAAAGACTTGGAACCAACACAAATGCCCATCAATGATAGACTGGATAAAGAAAATGTGGCACATATACCCCATGGAATACTAAGCAGCCATAAAAAAGGATGAGTTTACATCATTTGCAGGGACAGAGATGAAACTGGAGACCATCATTCTTAGCAAACTAACACAAGAACAGAAAGTCAAAACCACATGTTCTCACACATAAGTGGGTGTTGAACAGTGAGAACACATGGACACAGGAAAGGAACATCACACACCAGGGCCTGTTAGGGGATGGTGGGGGGGGGACAGGGGAGGGATAGCAGGGGATGGGAGGCTAGAGGAGGGATAGCATCAGGAGAAACACCTAGCGTAGATGGCAGAATGATGGATTCAGCCAACCACCATGTCATATGTATACCTAGGTAACAAACCTGCATGTTCTGCACATGTACCCCAGAACTTAAAGTATAATTAAAAAAGAAAGAAAGAAAGAAAGAAACTCCAACTTATATGGGAATTTTAATCTTAAATAAGTACAGCAAAGATGGACTGTTGAAAAGTGGCTCCAGTGTGACATGATATATATTTTTTTCCCAAAATTATTCCCATTGCTACCCATCTCCTAAAGGTTACAATTTAAACTACTTTCTTTTATACTTTCAGTGTTTCTTTATATATATAAGTAACTATAAATATACACCTCAATATTCGTCCTTTCAACACAGGAGGTAGCATACTATATTCACCATTCTCTATTTTGATTTTTTAGTGTAACAATATATACTTAATATCTCTCTTTATATAAACATAGAGACCCTCTCTATTTATTTTTTACTGTTGCATAATATTGCATTGCTCAGAAGTGCAATCATTTTTTCAACCAGCCTGTTCCTTTGCACTTAGCTTTTTCTCAGATTTTTATTATCTATATTACATTATTTGTATGATATTATACTACATATAATATTATGTGTAATATGATATAGATAACCTTACAGAAAGAACTTTACCTATTTGCAGATAAACACAGGATGGGAGTATAAGCAAGCAAATTTCTCCAGTGTGCCTTCTTTACACTGTTTTGCTTTCCAAAGCATGTAATATTATTACAAATTCAACAAAGTTCAATCTTTAAAAGTTCAATAAAAGTCAAAGCTGAAGATGTTAAATATGAAATTATTGTCAAATAAGTGATCATTAAAGCCGTGGAAATGGGATAGCTTTCAGTGATTTGCAACAAGTTAATGCTCATATAGAGAAAAATTGGAAAGGCTGGTTTAAATGATAAAAGTCATATATTTAAAGTCAAAAAGAAGCGAAGGACTAAAGGGATCAAACTTCCAGAGAGAACAGAAGCTTTCAGAGGTGAACTGGGCATCTAAAGCTGCCCGTGAGGTACTTGCCAAATTCTTGATGCAGGCTAGATGCTGACAATTTGGACTAGGCCCAGGCTGAGGGTCACAACCGGAAGACAAGCAAACAGGCAGAGTTTACAGCGATCACATGGGGCTAAGAATGACAAAATAATTTTTCCTCTTGAGAAATTTGCTAAAATCTGAAGCAGTGAAGGGCTTCAGTATAAACAATAAAGAATCATGATTTCTCCATATCTTTCCATTGAGAGGCTCATTAAGAAAACTAGTTCTTCAACATTTTCCCCGTGTCCTCATAATTTTAACATATTTATGCCCCTTCATTGTGGTAATCACTGTGTATTCAAACAAGAGAGTGGGTGAGCACTTTAAGGACAAATATGGAATAAAAGAGGAACACAAACGAACAGGTCTCTGCTCCTCTGATGAATGTTAGGTGTAACAAGGTAGACAGAATAAAAAAAATGTAGTTTCACTAATAAATATTTAATTGTAATATTAAAATATACCCTAAAAAAATGTAGAAAAACACAATGAGAAAATTACATGATAGTCTAACTTATTCTGGGGATTCAGGGAGGGTATTCCTGAAGAAATTGCATTTGAACCAAACCCTGAAGGATGAGAGGTAAGTACTTCACACAGTGGGAACAACAGATGCAAAATGTCTAGTGGGAGAAGTAGCTTTATAAGAGTGTTCTATTATAGAATGTGGTAAGCAAGGAGGGTGATGGGACAAAAGTTTGGAGGTAGCAGGAAATACACTGATTAGATCAGGCTGACCATTTCAAATTTTCTTTGCAATTCTAGATTAAATTCTAAGAACAATGGGAAGACATTGAAGGATCCTAGTGTGAGGCAGTAGAATAATCAGAATTTCATCTTAAAAAATCACTTTAGTTCTTATATGGAGAATGTATGGAAGGAATAAGGATTGGCTGTGGTATATGAGAAAAAAAGATCTTTTCAAAAATGCCTTTTTACAAGATTTGGGCTTGAGAAGTGTGTAAATGAAGATTCCATTTTTATGATTTTTTTAAACAGGGAGTTCTAAGGGAAGAACAGATTTTGTGCAAGACAACAACTTACATTTAGAACCCATGTTCATAAGAAATATATGGACTAAAAATATAAATTTAGAGGCCATACAAAAGACGATGAAAGCTTCCTTTTACATTTTGGGAGAGTATTGACAATTTTTGTTTATTTCACAAAATCCTTAAATGATTCTTTTATAGATCAAATTGTAATTTTTTAATGCTACTTTTTTTGTTAAAGCACTATAGTTTTTCATTAAAATCTTAATTTTGCATACATATCTCTTAGTTATTTTTGTGCTATTCACTTAACTAATTTTGGAAAATCCTGGAAATTATTAATCTTTCATTTGGTTTTCTATATTAGTTAGAAAAACGGTTGCAGTCAAATTGAAGATACATAAATACTACTTCCTTATGAATAATGGTCAGCTATATATGTGCTTCAGATAGCTCCAATATCATATGGCATATAAGAAAACTACTTATGCTAAAAAAGGAGAGCACTGAATTATAGTTAGGCAACATTTCCATTTTATATCAAAAACTATACTAAAGTGTGATTTGAAAACATGACACTTTTTTAACTCTTTTATAGTGAATCTGCTCATGATAAAAGTGTAAATTATTATTTATTTAAAAATTTAGTTATTTGAGAATTGGTTAATTTGTTTTTATTTTTCTAATAGTAAATATATGGGGAAGAAATATATTTTTACTAGGTTGATCTGGGTAGAATTGTCTCACTTTCTGCAAAATATTACAAAATACTGTGTATATGCTATATTTTTATAAATTGATTATTTTGGATGAAATACGGGTCATAATACAGTTTATTGTCCAAGTTTAAAGGCAAAGTAACAAAGAGTAAGCATTGAGTTTATTTTAAATGCCCATTAATAATATAGTCCATATTTTTTAACTTTCTAAAATGTTTAAGGATTATTTTTAATTGTATTTTTATTTTCCAACTCCTAATATGTCCTGTCGTGCATTTTTTTTCTTTTTTAAATAAATACTTGGTTTGATCAGTAGGAAATACTGCAATCTTCATTCTTTATATTTGGAAAAGTTATTTTTTCATTTATTTTAGCTTTTAAATAGTGAGTGTAGTAGTCACAGGTCAAACACGAAAGAGGTGGCACCGTCAAATTAGAACAATTTTAGTAATATTGAATAAAGTGACTATTTAAAACATAGGTAAGGTGTAAGGAATTCCAAAAAAATAGTGCATTATCTCTGGTATCCTTCCACTCCAGGCCCGAAGGGAAACAAAGGCTGGAAAGGAAAAAGGGGTCCTGTAGGGAGGACTCTTTCGCCCATCGGACACAATCAGCCTGGGTAACTGCCTGGAGGGAGTCTTGGAATACAGATCTTGACCTCACTTTCCTCCCTCACTCAGAAGTGTCCCAATCAGTAGCCAGAAGACAGGAGAGCCCATTGATATAGTCCATTTACCTCAACCTCCCAGGGCAGAGAGCAAGGTAGAAAAATGTGGAGAGTGAATCTCACAGGGGTAAAAAAAAATAAAAATCTAAAATAATAGGTGTACATGACAGAATGAAAAAAAGATAAGTATAAAATCTAGCACTCTTTCCAGCAAAGGAAAGGGAGCAGGGGCAGAGGGTTTGGGCTGTGAAAACCTTCCTCTTTCGGAAGATCAAGGACCTTTGGAATTGGCTGGCAAGGGGCATAATATGGAGAAAGGGGGAGCTGTAGTCCTTTAACAGGCCAGCTTAAACTGGCTGAAGATTCTTAGTACAACTGATGCACCAAAAAAAAATATATATATATACAGTATACATTCTTAGTGCTAATAAAAATGATGTACTGACTATATCATTGCTATTTACTTTTAGAGTTGTACCTGAAACACTGCGTTCTCTGGCCTTGGGTGTAAGCTATGTGATTTTGAGAATATTTGGTATGTATTTTTGGCCATCTTTTATCACATCAAATCGGTTTTTTTAATTTGTATATGTGTCTACATATATATTTAGTATTACAAGTAAATAATGGTAAATGACACAAAGCAAGTGAAAGGGCAGGCTGCTTTGCAGAATTTAGGAGACAATGTAAAGAGGGAATACTAATTCTCAAATTATCAAATAAAATATGCATATTATATTTGATCAGAAGAGACAACAAATTTAATTTGAAATATATTAATCGTCTCAGACATGTGGTTTGGTAAGCTCATAGAAAACTCTTGTAATACTTTACGTTGTTTGCATGTTTGGGAAGTCACTAACCTAGCCTAAGGATTTTTAAAATTTTCATCACCAACAACACTGAATCTAATGTTTTCAAAGACTTATTTGTTCCTAAGAACAAATAAATGTCGGGGGGTAATGTGTTATTTTCTTTGGCTTTCTTAAATCGCAAAAACTAGATTTCAAATGCAAATTATGACCATTTTAGAACCTCTGATTGACTAAGTTCATGGATCGAAGACTGAAAGACATATAATAAAAAAATGTAGAAAAATCTAAGTGTGGCTCTGATAGGGATCAGAGACATCATTCTATAGCTAGATCTACATGCTTGATTAAAATTAGCTTTTTTAACTGGGAAAAATTAGAGAATATTTTTGTTTTGGACAATGATTCACTAGATCAGAGATTTGTAATGGAAGAGGTAACATAGGAAACAGTCAGTACACAGGAAGTTTCTTGCATCAGAAAGGGAGCCAGTGAGGCTGATGTATTTTTGAATGGGAGAGAGTAGATTAAGATGTTACTAAATATTGTAGACAAAAACGGTCTATAGATATTTCAGGGTTTTTCTACCAGATAATTTTAAGCAGATGATAGATATTATTTGATTTACATTTAAAATATAACACTGGCTAGGCACAGTGCTTACGTTTGTAATCCCAGCACTTTGGGATGCTGAGGAGGGAGGATTCCTTGAGGCCTGGAGTTGGAGACCAGCTTTGGCAATATAACAAGACTCTGTCTCTAATAATAATAATAATTTTAAAAGTAAAAAAGTAAAAGGTAACTCTGCTGATAGAGGAAAAAGTACTTACAGAAAATGAATGTGGAGGAAAAGAAAAGGAAGGCTTTTGCTGAAGTCTAACAATTATATTAGGTCGGGTATAGTGGCTCACTCTTGTAACCCCAGCACTTTGGGAGGCTGAAGCTGGTGGATCACCTGAGGTCAGGAGTTTGAGACCAGCCTGGCCAACATGGTAAAACCTCATTTCTACTAAAATAGAAAAATTAGCTGGGCATGGTGGCAGGCATCTGTAATCCTAGCCACTCAGGAGGCTGAGGCACGAGAATATCTTGAACCTGGTAGACAGGCTGCAGTGAGCAGAGATCATACCACTACACTCCAGCTTGGGCAACAGAGCAAGACTTTGTCTCAAAAAAAAAAAAAAAAAAAAGCATTAAAGTGGATTCTAGGGTTTGTAGTAGAGATAGAGTGAAAACAGTATATCCAAAATATCTTTGGAATTAGTGTTACAAAGATGTATGATGGATTGGGAAAAGATGGTAAAAAATAGAAAAAATGAATAGCAGTCTATTTTTTTTAACCTTGAGCAATTATAAAAAAGAGAGCGCTATCACTCACCAAAAGGAGTGAATCTAGATAATGGGGATTGGCAAGAATCAAGAGTCGTTTCGGCAAGAAGGTTCTGATATTTGCTTAAGAAAGATGATTAATCGTCAGAGATTTTAGTTCTGAGAATTTGAATCTGGTGTGTTTGGGGGCAACTCTGCGTGTGTGTGTGTGTGTGTGTGTGTGTGTGTGTGTGTAACTTTTCACTCACTTTTGGCTGAAAGTAACATTGTTGCTGTGGAGATTTTGTCTGAGACTATGTAGAGGTTTCCCTTAGGCAGCACAGCTGGTCCTCTGGATTTGAGGTCATCTGAATCTGGGGCTACTATAAACACATCAGTGTATTTGCATTTTCAGTTATTTTTCTCAATGTCCTGATAAATAACAGATATACATTTGCAAACTCATTTTTTCAGTAGTTGAAAATGTCACAGAGATCTTTGATTACATACTAACTTCACAAAATCAGTATTTGGTAATTCTGTTTTAAGTACTTTCTCCTAAGTTTTTCACACAAAATTAAAATAAATTGAAATGTCATCTAAATAACAACATGGACAACATTCTAAACAGATGCAAAACTACTAATTGTTTCATACCTACAGGGATATGGATTTTTTTCTGAAAACTCACATTGTTTCCAGTGATTAACAATCCTATCTATAAATAAATTTTAGATAATTTAAGTGATATGTTTCGAATGATGATTCATCATTCATATATATTATGTGTGTATGCATTACATGTTTAAGAGAAAATAATTTTAATCCTGACCTATAGTGTTTTCATAAAGAATTTCAATCATTGCATTTCTCATAGGGACAATTCCTGGACCATTACTCTTTAAAACATCAGGAGAAAGTTCCTGTATTTTTCGAGACACTAATAAATGTGGACACACAGGACAATGTTGGATATATAACCAGACAAAAATGGCTTACCTATTGGTAGGAATATGTAAGTGATACGTATTAAGGAAATGGAGAGAAATAAAATTATTTTTAAGACTTATGGTTGTTTATAGTAAGGCAGAATTATAATAAACTGTGAATGAAATAAGTACTTTGATGAGTAAAGGTGGCTTAGCTTGCACAACAGAGTGAGACCACATCTCTACAAATAAAATTAAAAGAAATAAAAAATATATCCAAGTATATTGTCACATGCTATTCAGAGGTGAGAGGCTCTCTTGAGCTTGCGAGGTCGAGGCTACAGTGAGTCATAATTGTGCCAGCCTGAATGACAGAGTGAGACTCTCTCAAAAACAAAAAATTAAAAAAGGAGGATTATCTAGTTATATAGTAAATTTTTTAGAAACTAAGTGCCATAGAATTTACGTGTTTGAGTCAGTGTATTAAATACATAATCATTCCCAAATAAAGAATCATAATTAGCAGAATTTTAGTTTTGGGAAATATTTTGCCCAAATACAAACAAATCTCTTGACATTGTAACCCTTTCTACCTCCACAGTAAAACATTGGATAAGTTTGAACAAAATTTTTGCACCATTGGAGAACATCACGCTACTCTTACTTCAGTTAAATCTACACTTCGTATTTTTTCTTTTGTTCAACGATATAGTAGTGCCTAGAACACAGTAATCATTCAATATTTGCTGAATACATAAGAGATATAGGGAATCAAGATTCCATGGTGGTATGAGATGTGGTCAACGTGTTGGGAAAGTCTAGACATGTTTTTATTACTTAAGAAAACTTATCAAATCTTCCTGAATCATAATTTATTCATCTGTTAAGTGAGGATATTGTATTGCATAATTTCCGCAGTCTTAATCAGAGTGAACATTAAATGATTGTATTGTATAAATATGTTTTGTGTTATAAATACTTTAAAGTGTTTACATGTTTTGTGGTTTCACTAAGTAGATTCAATAATTCAAAAAAACCGTAATGATAAACTCTAATATTTAAGAGTAACAAATATCTATTTCATAAAAATAGAGAGCAATGCTTTCTAATTCTGAAATCAATTATTCAGCAAGCTTGACCTACAATGAAAACTGAATAAAATTTTAAAAAATCGAAGAGTAACATGACATTTGAGAAGTCAAAATTAACGTGTTGGAGGTAATTCAACAAAAACAGGAATTGTTCTTAAAGAAGTCTTAAAACTTTGCAGAGACTTTAAGTTTTTATTTTAGATATAATTGTCACATGGTTACCTGTTTTCGCAGTAGGTATTTGACAAAGTTGGTGAACTAGAAGAAATTCCAGTAAAGTGCTATTGAAAGGAGATATGAATAATAAAGAACATAAATAATTATGGTCAGATAGAAAATCTATGCAAAGATAGAAAACTGCAATACTATGCATATGTGGGAATTTAGTGTAAGCCAGTATATTTTTAAATGTATTTAATTGGTTATATGACTGAGAATAACTTGGTGTTCTTATTAAAAATATACATTCTGAGGCCCTGAATAGAATTCCAGGGACTGGAAGACATTAGCAAGGCTGAGGAATAGGAATTTTCAGCACTTATTTCCTCACAGAAACATTTATTTTACCATCCATGTGTGAACGTACCTTCGGAAGAGCTACAGAAATTACATTGAGAGAATACAGCACCTGGATGTAGCAGAGAAATAAGAAAAGACACATTGAGGAGGATAGGAGGTATAGTTATGCATGACCTGCATCACCCTTCCCCCAAGTCTGGCAGAATAGTGCAGAGAGATACCCTACATGTGAAGGAATGAACTCTAAGCAAGAATCTGACTTTGCCATTGACTAGAAACCAAATGTGCCTCAGTAAAATACAGCTCTAGGCTGATCCCCTTACCACCAGGCTCTAGGCAGAGACCTGTGGAGGAGTCTCCAGGTATGCCTCAACTACAGGCTGACTCCCACAGACCTGCGCTTCAGGCTGGCACCCACAGACTATGCCCTCAGTCTGTGTTGCACAAGAGTGGCTCACAAAAACCTTAGCTTCAGGCCAGTATCTGCAGCCGCAGGCACTGGGCTGGGTACTTGCAGCCTGTGGCACCAGGCTGATACTCACAGACCCAACTTCCAGGCCATCCCTAGCAGATACAGGTTCCAGGTCTGTCCCCTGTGTTCCCAGGATCCAGAGTGATCCCCTTAGCCCTACATTCCAATGGATATAGTGTCCAGGCCCACTCCAGCAGACTTTGATGCTGTCCTGTCCCCTGGAGACCCAGGCTTTAGAACCACCTCTGCAGATGCAGAAAAAAGGCCCATCCCTATGGCACTCAAGACCTGCCCCAGCACCATCTCAACCCCCATGAACCAAGGCTTGAGGTTGGCCCCCACAAACTCAGGGTCCAGGACTGCCCTCATGGGCTCAGTCAAATGTTCATCTCAGTGGACTTTGGCACCAGGCTAGCCAAGGTGAACACAAGATCCAGGCCCATCACAATGGATCCAGGCTTTAGGTCAGATCCCATAGACCCATGCATCAAGCCAGCCCATCTGCTGACCCAGGAACTGGATGAGTCAATTATGTAAAGACTGGAATAACTGCCTACTTCTTCAAAAGTGCAGACTCCAATGCATGGGCACAGGATTACAAATAATCTGGAAAACACGACACCACCAAAGGAACAAAATAAAGCACCAGTAACCGACTCTAAAGAATGGAGACTCACCAGTTGTGGTGTTGTGTATCTGTAATTCCAGTTACTTGAGAGGTTTGGCAAAGGGCTGAGGCAGGAGGATCACTTGAGCCCAGGAATTCAAGACCAGCCTAGGAAACACGGTCAGATGCCATTCAAAAGAAAAAAAGAAAAAAAAGAAAAATAAAAAGCAGGAGATAAATGGAGACTTATGAACTGCCTGACACATAATTCATATCAGTCATCTTGAAGTTCAGTAAACTACAAGAGTACACAGACAAGGAAACAAAATCAAAAAAATAATACACAAACAAAATGAGAAATACAATAGATACAAGCCATAAAAAGGAATAAATTCTAGAGCTAAATAATACAATAATTGAACTGAAAAATTTCATTGAGAACTTCAATAGCAAAGTAGATCAAGCAGAATAAAGAATCAATGAGTTTGAAGGCAGGGCATTCAAAATTATCCAGTCAGAGGAGTAAATGATGTAAACATGAAGGAAAGCCTATTGGAATTATGGAACACCATGAAGCAAACCAATCTATGCATTGTGAGAGTCCCAGAAGGAACAAAGAAAGTGGTGGAAAGCCTATTTAAAGAAATAATGACAGAAACCTTCCCAAATCTGTAGAGAGAAATGAATATCCAGATCTATGGAGTGCAAGGAACACCAAATAGATAAGATGTAAGGAACTCTTCAATGAGACATTATAATCAAATTTTTGAAAGTCAAAGACAAGAAGAGAATTTTGAAAGCAATAAGAGAAAAGCAATTCATCACATATAAGGGAAACTGTATAAGACTATAAACAGAAATTTTGCAGGCCAAGAGACAGTAGAATGATATATTTACTGTGCTAAAAGAAAGCAACTGCTAGACAGGAATATTACACCTGAGAAGTCCATCCATCAGAAATAAAGGAGAAGGATTTCCCAGAACAATAAAAACTGAGGGATTTCATCACCACTAGATCTGACTTACAAGAAATGCTAGAGAGGATCTTAAGCCCTGATGCTCAGGCCTGCTCGCCCCTGTGGAGTGTATTTTCATTTTCAATAAATATCTGCTTTTTTTGTTTGTTTGTTTAATAAAAAAGAGAAAGAAATGCTAAATGGAGTTCTTATGGTTGAATTGAAAGGTTGCTAACTAACCACATGAAAACATGTAAAAGTATAAAACTCAGTAGTAAATGTAAATACATGGTCAAATATATAGTCAAATTTAGAATACTCTAATACTATAATGGTGGTGATTAAATCATTTTTAACTGTACTATAAAACTTGAACAACAAAAATATTAAAAATAACTATAGCTACAGTAATATGTTAAGTAAATGTGGGATGAAAAGAAGTAGAGTTTTCATATGCAATGGAAGTTAAGTGGTTAACAGCATAAAACAGTTATACCTATAAGATACTTTATGTAAGCCCTATGGTAAGCAGACATTGTAAAAAAATAAGGTGTACATGCTTAAATTATAAAAAAGTTAAAAAGATTTAAAAAAGAAGGATACCACTACAAAAAAAGTCTTCACAAAGGAAGACTGCAAGGAAAAAGAATGGAACATAGGAAAACAAGAGTCAGAAAACAGTCAGAAAACAATTAAAAAATGGCAGTTGTGAGTCCTTAACTCTCAATAATTACTTTAAATGTAAATAGGTTAAAATCTCTAATCAAGTATTATAGACTGGCTGAACCTAATGTTTAGCCAGATTTTAACCAAAGTCAGCAGAAAAAAAGAAATGATAAAAATCAGAGCAAATGTCAATGAAATACAGATTAGAAAAATAATAGAAAAAAATAACAAAATTAGGAGTTGGATTGTTGCTAAACAAATGAAACTGACAAACCATTAGCTAGACTAAGAAAAACAGACAGAAAACTCAAATAAATAAAATTATAAATAAAAGGCAACAAATTACAACTTATGCAACATAAATAAAAAGGATCATGAAACTATTATAAAAAATTAGACATCATATTGGATTAACTAGATAATATGAACAAATTCCTATAAACATAACACTTCACAAAGACATAATCATGAATAAGTAGAAAATCTGCTTAGACAAATAATGAATTAGGAGTTGAATTGGCAATCAAAAATCTCCCAACAAAGGAAAGCCCAGGAGCTGATGACTTCACTGGTTAATTCTGCTAAATATTTAAATAAAAAAATAATGCTAACCTTTCTCAAAATTAAAAAAAATATATATTGAAGAGGAAGAAACCCTTCTAAATTTATTTATGAGACCAGAATTACCCTAATACCAAAGTTAGATGAAAACACTCAAAGAAAATAAAATTATGGGCCAATATCCCTAATGAACACAGATGCCAAAATCCTCAAG